CGAGCTGCTTGAGGCGATCCGTCAAGGTGTTTGTCGGAGTGCGAACAGGCGACAGCATAGTGTCTAACACTTTATGCCAGTCAAGGCCTACTTCAAACACACCGGCTTGGGCGGGAACTAGTGTTAGGGGATCAGCAAGTTGCTGGCCGAACAAACGGGGCAACTGGTTAGGCTGATATCTCGTAGTGGGTTGTACACTCCTAGGTGTGTCAGAGGGCGGACTACCGGAAGGAGGTCTATGCGGGGCAAGTCTTCCACCGGATGGCGGCTCCTCATGACTGTCGGCGCGTGGAGCGGCCGTAGGTGTCCACCACGAGTTGTCTAACACTGGCGGTGCGGCTGCCGAGGAGGCAGCCTGGGTGGCCCACGCTGAGTCGCGAGGTACTGATGGCACATTTGCAGGTTTACCATACGGAAATGGGTAAGGACTAGGTGGTGGCGGCTTTTTCTTAGGAGTTAATGGCTCGGAGGAGCTGCTACTGGTTGTCGGCCTGGATCCCGCTCCCAAGAAGCTGATCTACCGGTTAGCGAACCTGGCGGGGTCTTGTAGGGAAGCCCCGATGCTGAGTGGTGGCTAGGTGGTCGATCAGGGGATTTAGGTGGGGACTGCTGGGATCTTGGGGTCGATGGCTCGCCTTGGTCGTCGTCACCATCCCCAGGTGGGTTTGGATCAGACGGGGCAGCAGCCGAGAGTCCTGCGCCAACTGGTACTCGATTCCCAGCCGGCAGCGGCTTGCCCGTGTTGTCGGTCTCCACGTGCACCGGTCTGTTGCGTTCCTCGAAGGCCTCGAAAGCTCTGCGCTTCGCCTCAGTTGACAACTGTCTGACTGCGGGTGGCGGAGGCTTGATCTTTGTTGGAGGGGATCGGGAACGAACGGGACGCGCCTTGCGCGGCGTCTTCAGTGCTTGCGGCGGCGCAGACGGCGAAACGACTGGCACCGCAGGTGGCGGTGCGCTGCGTGACCTCGGCGTCCCGACAACGGGGGACTTGGCAATCGGGGGTGCGACAGGTGTTTGCCTCAAGGGTGGTGCATTCCGCGCCGAAGGCGGCGGCTGTGGAGATACCGCTGGAACAAACACTGGATCAACTACCAATGAGAGCTGAGGCTCCTCTAGGTCTGGCGGCAGTTGAGGCACCCTTAGCTTTACCTTTAGGGACTACTTGTCGGACATGAGGGGGCGTTACAGGGGGCGTCCCCTTTAGTGCATCGGCGCTCACGACAACGCGGACGCGTTTGGATGCAGGTTCGACAAGACTGGGTTTAGGATGATGGGCTTGGGTGCCCTTAGGACGCTCACCGTCAAGCCATGTGAGCCAACTGCTGGCGTCCTCAGTACGACCCTCTAGGTTACGAATGCGTCGAGAACGGGCTTCGGGATCGGAATTGCCCGAATCCTCTGCATCTAGCTCATAGACCTCTGCATTCGGATCGACCTGGATGGTGGCGGATGAGGGAAGCAGGTGGTCTCCCTCGGCTTGTGGAGTGCTAGACCAATCGAGGTCGTACACGCGGTCACGTGCTTCCTCAAGCGGCACCGACGGCTCATGCTCTCGGTCCCATTGGGACCTACGCAAGCGGAATGAGGTCAAGTGTCGATGAATGAATGCTCCGGGACCTGGTGTCATGACAACCGGACGAACTGGTTCCGCGCCAGAGGCAGCGGCTTTTGCGCTCGTTGTTGGTTGGTCCTGATCTGACTCGAGCGCCTCGGGCGAGGCAGCCCCTTGCTCTTCCTCTTCTTCCTCCTCCTCAACCACGACGTCTTCTTCCTCCTCAACCGTGACCTCCGGCTTCGCCTGCGACAATGCTTGCCCGAGATCACCACGAAGCGCTGCTCCGCCCAACGCATTGGAGGCGTGGGCCTTGGCGTGAGCAAGTTCGTTGTTTAGTGATTCGAGGTTATCGTCTTGTTCATGCATCACGGACAAGTCAAGACGGTCAGCATCAGGCTTAGTCGGTCTCACTGCAGAGACAGGTCGAAGAACAGGTATTTGCTCCGGATTAGATCTAGTCCTCCTAGGCGTCACTTCCTTTAATGGTCCCCGATAACTATAATCATGCGGACCAGGAGGGGGAAGCCGGATGGGTAATGATGGCTTGGGCACCTCGACGAACGTGCTACCAGCTTTCATCTGCACAGGTCCGGCGCCTGTAGGGTTACCCACTGGCACTACCTTAGGGGGCGGACTATGGGACACAGACTTACTGGCAGGCATCGAAGTGTCCGCGCCAGAGGCTGCGGCTTGCTTAGACTTTGGGCCGGCGGCCTCCGACTTCGGTTTGTCTGACTTGACCTTGGCTTCAACTTCGGCACGAGGCTTGAGCACGACCGGGGTTTGGCCACGATCAAGCGTGGGACGCCAACCCCCTCCGGCAGATGATGCACTGGCCGTCGCTTGGGCGGTCGCAGAGGCCTTAGGCGCAGCGGACCGAGATCGATCAGTGCGAGGGGGAGCGGCGGAGGACGAGGCTTTGGAGCCCGAGTTGAACACTGTCCTTGGTGGAGCAACCTTGGTTTCGGCCGAGCGCACGCGGCGAAGAGGCACGAAGGGATGGTCCGAAGTCCAGTATCCTTTGGGTAGCCTATACTTGGGTTGGGGCATACCTTGCAACAGTGTGGGATTGATGGAATAAAGGAACTGCCAAAGCTCAGGTAGAATGGTAGCCCATCGAAGAATGGTATCTACTGGCAGCAGCTCCCCGTCCATGTCGAATGCCCACCTGTCGGAGTGTCGAAGGACGTACCCGAACCACTCAGGGTATTGCTTGCGGGCCACCTGCGGTGGGATATGAGGGAGATTGAAACGGCGGCCGAACCGTGCGTATGTCGAGTCACCTAGCTGAGCGCTGATGTACTCGCACGTTGTCCCATAGGCGAGGTTTTCTTTCCCGGCGACGTGCTTCGCCCCGGCCCTGCAACCTCTCCTGCGGGCGTGGTCCCTCTCTCCCTGTCCCGCGCTTGAAGCAGCGGCTTCGCCACCCTCATTCTCCGGCTGTGGTCCTCCAATCTCGACGTCTGCAGGCTCCGGCTCGACGCCGGCCTCGGCTGCGGTGGCTTCCAGGGCAGCCTCGAGGTCGTACTGCTCCTGGATCCGTCGAGCGATGTCTTCGTTCTCCTCGTCTTCGCGGTTGATTCGTCGTCGTCTCCAAGGGGATCGAAAATATTACTAGTGGGGACAGGCGGACTATATGGGGTTGACGAAGCCTGTGCAATTAGGCGCTCAGGTGGGACGAATTCTTCAGGCTCATCCTGCATAGGGACCGGCTGGTCTTGGTCTACGGGGTTGAGGGAATTCGAATCCTCCATCGAGGCTTGGACGCTTAGGTCGATGGGGCCTGCAGCAGTGGGTTGACCTCCTAACGAATGCTCGGGGTCTTGCTTGACTTGGTCCGAGATGTTTGGAGAGGTCTCAACGACAGGGTCAACGGGTGCCGCGCCTAGAGCAGCGGCACCCTCGCCTGGCGGGTCCTGTCCGTCCCACTGGATGTCCGGACCGGCAAAGGGCTCCTCCGATTCGACTTCGCGGTCGTCAGCCTCAATCTCGGAAAACGGGAACAAGGTTGGTCCCGAACCTGCTGAGGACGCAGCACTACCACGTCTCGAACTATCGGTGCCCGCGCCTGCGGCAGCGGCTGGGGGGTTCAACGGCTCTACGAACAGCTCGAGGGCACTGGCGCCCTGTTCGCCTAGATGGACGAGCGATGTCACCTCCAGCTCCGGATCATCAATGCCTACTCCTAACGAATCCGCGCTTGGAGCAGCGGCTTGCGTCGAAGCGGCTGCTGGCACGGATCTTGGGTCAGGAACGGGATCACTTGGTCCTAGCGAATCCGCGCCAGAGGCAGCGGCTAGCGCTGACTCGGGACGGGGTGACCTAGGAGGTGTTACCCTGGGCATTGGGTCTAAAAGAGGCGGACTATTAGAGCTCGTAGGTTGGTTAGACCTACGGCTGATAACCAATGAAAGGGACAAGGGTTCCGGGATATCAGCCCCAAACAACCACCACAACCTACGGAGTGGAAGGTGTTCGGAAAGGTATCCTATTGTGTGGAGAACCCTAGTCCGAGAAGGTACGCGACGGGGAACCCCGGATGGGTTGGTGCCCGTGGTGTACCAGGAGTGGGGTGTGGACGAAGGAGCACCTACGGCAACCTAAGAACACACAACACGAATTGCACGAAATGCACGAATGCGTGTCGGCGCGACGATCGAACGATCGGCGTGACGGACGCTGAAACGCGCGGCGAGCACACGTTTCTTGAGCCAAAATCAAGGTCGGTGTGAAACGTGAAAAGGTTCAAACCGACCTAGTTGAACATGTTTGTACATACAAGACCGCATGACAAGTTAGGGGTTAATCTTGGTTGTTAAATTTCGACTATAATATAATATATATATATATATATATACTGTATATGTTTTAAGCCATAATTGCAAGTTACAAGTTACAGCTTGGCCACCAAGCTTAAGTTCTCAACGGTGCAAAGCAAGAGAGGCGTGCTGAAGGTGCCCACCCGTTTCTGTACTCGAGTCTTCCTATGAAGGTTGCAGAAGCATCTGGTTACCAACAAATCACCCTGCTTTTGGGCCAAAGCTTCTAGCTTTGCCTTCCAGGTCTGTTCCACTCACTGTGCACTCAGATCTGGCAAGCACACCCCTGCGCTGGGCTTCCTCCACTTCCGTCCACTGATCAGCTGCAGTAGCGAAAAGCAAGCTGCGCTGCCCGACACCCACACCCACCAGCCAGACATGGAGAGTTTTGCGCTGGCACTGGCCTCCTCCTCCTCCTCTTCTCCTCCTCCTTCTGCTTCTGCTTCTGCTTCTCCTTCATCTTCTTCTCCTTCTGCTTATCCTGCTTCTCTTCTCATTCTTCTGTGGAGGGCCCAATGCAAAGCTCCAACTGGCGTCCGTATGTAGGTGTGCAGGTCAAAAAAAGAAAAAATGCACACCTCACTCACTCTTGGTGCACTTCATCTCTGGTGCGTTGGGGCTCCCACCACAGCAAAGAAGGCATCGAAGAACGGATTCTCCACCACCCGTCTCGCCATTTGACCTGTCTTCGGTCTGTTCGAAGCTGTCTGGTTCCAAAGAGGGAAGAAGACGAGCTAAGGACTCATAGAGTTGAGGGGCCCCCCAATAGAGTTGAGTTGACAAAGGTAAGCCACCAAGCAAAACGACTGAAGCACTGGCTCCGTGCCATGTTTGACCCCAAAGGCAAGAGTCAGTCAGCTGGACTGCTTGAGCAGCAACAAAGAAAGCCCCTAACACGTGGCTTCTCGATCTACTCACAGTTGTGACCCTCGGTGGATAGTTGTGAATCTGCGCGTTTCGCCACCTCACCTAGAACAGCAGCACTTTCTCATCCGGAGTCTTGCTCACCCCGCACCATCACCCAGCTCATCCCAACTCAGCCGCCTGTAGTTTTGGACATCTGATGAGCTCTCGCACGAGCTTCTGACATCCTGCTGGCATAGCGTTGCCGGCTGTGTTGCCCATCGACGCTGGCCTTGGTACAAACACTCGATTGAGCTTGTTTGGGTACACGTCACGGGGATCCTGAAATTGCTATATACGGTGTATAATGTGAATTAATTTATCGAAAACACGTTGGGAACCATGTCTCCACTAGGTGTTGTAAAAGAACATCTCATTGCTTGAAGAACAAATCTTGCTCCAGGAAAGACCACCAAAGTTCGATCAATCCTTGCGTCCATCGCTGAGCGTCTGCCATCTCCACACGGTTCAAGTCCTCCGCATGAAAAGTGCTGAACAATTGTTCGCCATCCTGCAGGGGGCCAAGGACAGCGCTGGGTCACCTCAAAAATGCTTCAGGGGTCCACGATCATCCAAGGAAATGCTGACTTCCCTGACATCCGTTGGCATCCGTTGGAAAGATTCCTGTTGGCATCCGTTGGAAACAACGCAACGAGACGCATGATATGAACGCCTCCTTGAAGGACACTGGCACGGTGTTGGCCTCGGATGGACTTGTCGACGCTGGCACCAGAGCACCGGGGCAGTAAGAATTACATAGCGCCCCAGTAGATCCGCACTCAAAATGTATTGGAAACCGTGCCACTATCTGTTTGGGGACCATTTAAAAAAAGTTGTCCCTTCTTGTACCCTTGAACCCCTTGAACCCCCCCCCGAAGCCGCGGCAGCATGCTGGACCCTCCCTCGCGTTTCAAGCGCGGACCTTCATGAGGGAGAGGCGGCTGTTCTTCTGATCTGGCAGCGGGCCAAGCCCCTCAGAAAAGTCCTGCAGGTCCGATGGTCGGACTGATCGATGGACTGCCGAAGCAGTAGAATCGGTGCAAAGTCCCGTTCTGGGTGCGCCCATTAGGAACAAGTGCATCGCTACTAGTAACAAGTGCCTTACTAGTAGTAACAAGGACGCTATTAGGAACAAGTGCATCGCTACTAGTATCTTAGAAATATATAGAAATATGTCATTTGTTTTGGGTTACAGGGCCGGTCGTTGATCTGCCAGCACAAGCGTTTGCTGCGATGAATGCTTGGCTGGGTAGCAAAAGGCACAACAACACCAATTTGAGCTTGATATTGTAGTCATGCGCAGGCCGAGACCAGTTCCATACAAAGTCGAATCCTATCAGTTCGGACCATTCCAGCCCAGCTATGCTCATCATGTTTCTTTGAGATGATTCTGCAGTCAAATAGCCACACTATGCTCCTCCATTTATCTTCACAATGTTTTACTTCACTGTGGCCACACTAGATTCTGCCATCAAGTGGCCACAGCCACACTAGATTCTGCCATCAAATGGCCACACTATGCTCCTCAATTTATCTTCACAATGTTTGACTTCAGTGTGGCCACAATAGACTCTGCCATCAAATGGCCACACTATGCTCCTCCATTTATCTTCACAATAATGTTTGATTTCACTATGGCCACACTAGATTCTGCCATCAAATGGCCACACAATGCTCCTCCATCTATCAATCTGTTTGACTTCACTGTGGCCACACTAGATTCGGCCATCAAATGGCCA